AAGTGATGCAACAGTGCCACATCAGTTACAGAGACGTTTGGAATATTCACACCCGTACTGATAACCAGGTCCAGTGTGTGTTGCTTGTTTGACATGTGTTAAACCAAAATGTTCTAAAATATTAGAAAGCATTTTTGCCCCTCTGTCTTGGGGTTTGTCCACATGAATGTTGAAATCACCAACAATTATTAAACAATCATAATCAATGCATATGAGAGATAGAAGATCATTCAAGTGTCATATTGAGGAGTATAGATTCTAGCCCATATGCAGAACATAACACAAGAGAGCAATGAATAAAGATGTAATGAATTTATTAGAAAAATACAGGAACTGGGAATGGTGACTCAAGTCTGGTTCACGGGAGAGGAAAGGATTCAGGAAGCAACCGGTACACTATGGGAACAGAGCAGGCTGGTGAGTTCAGGGGTCGTCGGAAAGTATAGTGTTGATAATGATGCCGGACAGATCTTGTGTAGACTCAGGACGAGGCTTTGGGAAGGGTAACTGCAAGGTCCGGGACTCCGGTCTCACTGTGAATCTGGGTGGGTTGTTGCGTGTCGGCGGAGGTCCAGGAAAACACGGAGGAGTGCATTGGAGGGCGGACAGGTAGGCTCAAAATCAACGAAGAACGAGGAGCAGGGCATCTGCCAGTTGAGGGAATCCAAGAGGGACTGGTAGTCGCATGGAGAGGGTGAGTCTGGGAACTCGGGCTACACGTGGGTATCTTCCACAGCGTCACGAGGAAATGGCTGGTCGTAGAGCCCGGAGGGATCGGCACTGCGAGGATCCAAGGCGTCACTAGGGATCACCTGAGGAGAGGCGAACCAACAGGGAGAATCACTGACAGCCTGTCAGTGACAGGTAAGTCGACGAAGAAAAAACACAGAGTTAAACTTGAGGAGGCTCAGAGGTACCATTACAGGGCAACACTCAGGCGATAAGGGACTGGCAGACCGCTCCTCAAGAACCTCTCGCTGATGAACTCAGCTCGAGACCGGTGTGCTAGGTGACGTCATCCACGCCCTCCGACAGAATGATGGTGCCATCTAGTGGAGGAAAGGAAGTGGTGCGCACACACGCAAACCCCACAGCGAGAACCTAGAACCTCAGATCCTGACATCAAGAAATTTTCCACATATGTTGGAGTTTTGTATAAAGTTAGTTTCAAAGTTCGTTTGTAGCCTTTAACCTGAATTCCAAGATACTCAAAAGAGGTGAAATGACCCAAAGAAATTTTACTACAATTTATGGTTTTCTTAAATATTGCAGCCACACCTCCTCCTTTTTTATATTTTCTATTCTCACTTAAAAAATTGTAGTTAGGAGGCGCTAAGGCTCTGAAACATCCGAAGTGAAAAGAGGATCAGTGTGTCACTAATTTAAATCTGTCACTTCATTAAATATATACGAAATAATAAGATGGTGAAAATAATTCATTAAAATGTGTGACTTTGACCTCCTCATTGCACCTCAAGTAACATGAGGTTAAAATTTCCACTAAATTTCTGTTAGTTGTCCATAAATCTATTTCAGCGGTCATAACAGCTCTCCCAATGACAATTGGTAAATTAGTAGATTTACCAACTACTCATTGGTAAATCTGAACAGTGATAAAACTGTAGAACAAACACTTTGCCTATTGTACTATATTCTACAAAAAATGTATTTGTTGAAAAATACTTTTTTTTTCTATTTCTTTTGATTACTTTTAGGAACAACTCGAGACCGGTGTGCTAGGGTCTGCTAGTTACAACCTGTGCAATTAGTTTTTCTACCCAGTTGCCCAGAGGGGCATCAATTGGTGTAAAAGTGTCTTTGTTTTTGAAGTCACAATGGCAAATATTGGGGCTTTTTATGTTGGCTAACCATGGCTGAATTTAGACCTCCACCTCAAATATGAAAACAAACAAATCCAGAACAAAATTAAAACATCCTGATGTAGTGAGTAGGAGTATGTGCTTCTCCCCCTCCAGAGACTCTTTGTTACTTAAGAGAACATTTGTAGTTGTGGAAACACTCCTGAAAATTTTCTTTCTTTTTCTCTTTATGTAACCTCAAAGGGTGAGTCATCAAAGACTTTCTCTTTGCAGTGAAATGTTTTTCTAAGCTAATAAATTCACTTAGATTTGTCAGTCTCCTCAAGGCCAGGAGACATTGCTCTGAAGGTGTGAAAAGTTTGTGAATCATCAGGCTGAAGTTGCTGGTCTATTTGTTGCATGCAAATGAAAATATAACAAGTCCATTTGGTTCAAACACTCAGTAACTGCAAATTAAAAGACTGAACCCTGCTGAGAACAGAAAACATCCATACTGTAATTCAAAAGCAGCACATTGGTGAGTTAAACTAAGAAGACACTGCATGTTTGGACCTACAAACATGCAGGTCCATGATTGTAGGTCCAAACATGGACCTACAAACATGGTCCACGTTTGTAGGACCATGGACCATGGATCATGGACCATGGTCCATGGTCCTACAGCTTTACTGTAGGACCAATATGAGAAGTACAGATCCTTCTCTCTCATATGAGAAGGCTCTGTACTTGCAATGAGGAGGTCAAAGTCAATTACATACATTCCTGCTCAAACCTGAAACAAGCCAAGCAAATTCAGCTTACAATTGGTAAAAAAAAAAAAAAGTTCTTTTTAGGAATAAAGTATGGCCCATTGTGTTATTCTCTATGTAGCAATCCCTTATGATGTGCAAGTAAGCAACAACAGAGGAGAAGAAAACCCTTTTGACAGGAAAAACGTCCAGCAAAATGAAGCTTTTTTTAAATGGAACACAATGAGGAGAAAAGTGCTGCTTCTCCAAGGTACATAATTTCTTTCGCAGCCACAATGACATAATGACTGCATTGATATTCTGATCTGAAATCACCAAATTCTTTATTTTCAGTTCAATTCTCATCTTCTTCAAGTAGATATTGTGTGAACCTAAGTCCAGGGGGTGTAAGGCAAAGTGGTGCCCATTAATAGTATCCTGCTGCATAATAAGCCCTAGTCTGAAAACATCATGAACACCTTCAGTGTGGTTCCATCCCCATAAGTGTCCAACACAGTTGGACAATTTCTATCCACAATTTGCATATAAATTGTGGGACTGATGGTTCTCCACAGTTCATTCGCTTGTGGAAAACACAGATCACTCTCTGTCGACACCACCAGTTACACATATTGAGGGTTGTGGAAAATAAAATATTCACAGTGTGTTTACTTTCATTAGAAGTTTATTCAGTATTAATCTTACAATGTTTAATCAATTTATTTTTATGCTTACAGAGTTGTTTCTCTTTTGGCCTTCAAAGTTTGCCTTAGTGAGCCAGAAACCTAGCAACAGGTGATAAGCAAATAGTTTTCTACTTCATGGGGGACAGACCAGACTCGAAGGCTGGGCGATTAGATTATTATTAGACATAGAAACTGTGCCTAATAAACTTGAAACCTGTTTTTAACCGAGCGTTGCATTTTTCTCTGTGTGTGTGATAATCTGATATGCTTCTCCACAGACATTATGTCTGAGTATGGAGTGCTGTGCTTCTTGGATGATGTCATAGATATCTGTGTATGAAGGACAGTTTACGGTATACCAGAAAGGTGTTTTCCTTCTAGTTAGAGCTCTTCTGAACAGTGTAACTGCTGTGCTCTCCATCTGCACAGATGTATTAATGCTGTACTTTGTTCTCTCTTTAACAAGGTTTGGACTTTGTTAATTCTCTTGCTCCACAGGGTGTTTTCACACCTGATCCCATAAACTTGGTTTGAATCGGAATCAATATTGCAACATTTGTTACATTTTTGGCAGACGTTTTTCTGGCCTTTCTTTGCCGGTTACTGTGTAGATCATCTCGGTCTTGTCTTATGGTTTCTGTGCTGCAACCAAATTGGTTGCACTCTAAGGCTGTTTGCAAGTATAAAATGGAAACATGAAGGTATGGAGTGATATTTGATTACAAATTGACAAATGAGTCTTTCATTTTAACTTTGGAAAGCACTGATTATTGTAATGTTAATTAAAAAAAATGATTTAGGTGATTTATAAGTGCATTCAACACATTATTCATTTGTGTACTACTTCCAGAAAATGTCTGTGTATTGAATGACAAAATGTCACTTTAATCAAAAACATGCTGCCATCTCCACATTCTGCTCACTGTTACTTTGTCATAATAACTGTCTCTGATGTTATTATGATTGAGCCTCTTCACCCTGATAAAAACTTTATTACGAGCATCATTTTGCGCTAGTGGGACACGATGAGGGGTTGAGAGCATGTGACATTTAAACAAATTGCACTGTTTGTTGCTTACAGGCTGAGACTGTGAAGTCAAATATAGCTCTGCGGTCTAGAATTTGCCCATAATTGCTGATGATCACTTAAAGGGCAAACCAATTGGGGATTCCTCTGTTGTAGGTTAGAAAAGTTAACCTGAATGCCTCTTTTATTTGTGCCAGAAACTTTAAAAGTTGCTTCACTTCAGATTGTGTTTTTTAGGATGGATTTTTTTTTATGCACTACTATTTACTTTTACCCAAAGTTAAAAGGTCAGGTGGATGATTGTGGAAGTAAAACTATGTTTTTGTTCCTCACATAATAAATAAATCCCATGTTTTCTTCCTGTTCAAACACACCTGAATCAAATGAAAGTCTTATTACTAAGGCATCTGCAGAGTTTAAAGTTTAGTTTCCATCCTTCATCCATTATATACTCCATAATTACAAATTTTTCAAAATGTTGCATCACTTTATCCATTTATTGACCAAATATTGGAATATTTTATGAGTTTGCATGTATTGGATATAAAAAATATATGTTTTCATATTTGGGTAACCAATCATTAATTTGAGTCAATCAAGGAAAGACTTGTTGATTTGGATAGCTAGCTCCTTGAATTATGCTTTTTTGCATCTAGTTCTATTAAAAGTGTATATTGTCACTTTTCCCTTTGTTGCTCTCGAGACCAAGAGAAGAAACATTGTTGATGAGAATGTTTTATTACACAAGAAAAAAAGGCATTCTGACAATGTTTCAAAGATTGTCTTTCATGGCTGTACATGAAAATGGTCCTTTTCATATCAGAGATCCAGCTGACATTGTGTCATTTGAAAAACAAATCTCTACTGACGATTGAGACAGACTGAAAATGACAAAGCAGTTACAAAACAACAATCTAAGTTCACTTGATTCTGATTGCTTGTTCTCCATTCTTAGAAGAAGCTCGGCCTTCTGTTTGGTGTCACATGATGTCTGGGTCCCAAAGAAGGTCACCGTGTGCTCTTCTCCTACGCCTTAATTCTCACTGTACTTGAGCAGATGTAAGCTGTGAGCCGAGTGATACAAAGAAAATCAGAGCAGATAAAAGAAACACGCAGTTCTTCGGAGTCATGGCAACAGAAGGCCGGTACAATACAATCAAGGGATGAATGAGAAAGGAGGTGGAGATGGAAATAAAGACCAGGGGAGGTTGGATTTGCAGCTCGTTTGTTGCCCATCTTTACCTCGTTATGGCTTCTTCTTCTCTCCTCCTCTGTGTCTCCAAATTTCTTCAACTCTGACAGCCTCAAAATTGATGAGGACTGCTGTAGCTCTAAACTGTAGCTGTGTTTAATTACAAATGTGTGCAAAACTGTCAATAGCAGAATATTGACAATTTTGCAATTGTGTTGTTTCCATTAAGTAAGAAACACAATTGAAATCACATGTGAGTAAATTTGTTCACTCACTAAGTTATTAAAAACTTGTTGCTGATCTTTCAATTATCCTATTATCTTCTTCTTGTTTAGCACTAATGGAAACATCCAGTTGTTGATTATGACTCGTGATGTCATGGCATGGCTGCAATGGAAAAAAGTTTCCATTGCAGTTTTGCGAAATAAACCGATTTTGATATGGCCAAAATCTGCAAAACCTTTTATTGAAAACAAGTTTTTTTTTCAAAATTGGTATATTTCCCTAAAGCTAATTTATTTTCCAAATGTAAAATTTCAAAATTATATAATCAAAGGAAGCACAGTACATTAGCTCTGCAAACTAAGTAAGTGCACTCCTGAGTTAATTTGCAGTTCCTCTTCCTGGCTGATATGATGCTCCCATCCAGGCTCAGACTGCAGTGCTGCGACCCAGCAAAGGGAAGGCAGTTGGCATCCCGCAGTTAGGCTCCAAACTTCTCAGTCTATGTACCCTCTGAAATCCCTGCATGCTCCCCTGAAGTTCCTGTATTTCACTTTGCATACTCTCATAATGAGTCCGAGGCTCCCTGCGTGGCATGGTTGCCATGGCAGCAGCAGTGGCCGCCTGAAGCGAGCGCGCTCCCGGTGGGGTCAGGCTGTTGTTCAGGTCCATGTTGGACAGGAGATGTCCCAACGAGTCCCAGCGCTGGGATGAAGGCAGACGAATCAGCGAGGAGTAACCCCTCTCAGGGAAAACGGTGGCCACTGGGGGCTTGCTGGTCTCGGATGTGACAACTGGAGGCAGGTTGGGGCTTTCCCTGGAAGGCAGCGGCGCTCCCTGTAGTGGGCCGGGCTTCAGGTACATCCCTCCTCGAGGATCGGCCAAGACTTCGCTGTAGGGAGGTGGGGGGTCCTCCATCAGGACCGCTTCCTCATAGCAAGGTGGCTTCCCAAATTCTGTGTCTGTGTCTGGAAGAGAGAAAAGACTGGCTTAAATCAGGCATAAAATTCCTCAAGAAGGCTGCTACTGACAATTATTTTAGTAATCCATTACGCTGAAGATTTATCAAATATAAAAATTTGGCACATTCTGCAGTTGTTTTATTTAACCACTTAAAATTATTTTGTAGAATATTAGAAAAACATTAAGATATACAAATAAGTTAATTCAGACCCTTTAATCATTTTATTGACTGAAATGCAATAACTGTCTTTTTTTTAATGTTTTGTAATTTGCAGCAGAGGATCCATCTACAACAAAAAGATACCGCTAACATTAATATGTGAAAAGCTCAGCACTTTCTGCTTGATTGAACATCAGCAGTGTAGGGATGATCTGGTGATTCTTTTTAATAACTGAATAGTAAAAGGTGCTTAACTAGAAAATTCCTGAAGAAATTTAACCGGGGCCTGCCAAAGTGTGCCCGTCGATTTTGACCCAGCGTTCTGATGCTAAACATTAGCATCCATGCTAAAGAAAGCTACAATATCATCAATACAATGTGGAGAGTCACAAGCATGTATAGTAAATATGGGTAATAAGTAAGGGAAATAGCTAATACCTCATGCAAGGTAAAAGGCTAATGCTAATGCTCTGCCTTGCTGCGCAAGGCAGAGCCCTAACCTGAGTGGAAAGGATCATGCAGGATAATCTTATTGCACTGCCTATGGCAGTGCACTGGTGGGAAACAGAGAAATGCTAATGTTTGTGCTAATGCTAATGCACTGTCTTGCTGCGCAAGACAGTGTCCTAACTTGAGAGGAAAAGATAATGCAAGCTAATATCATTGCAGCGCCTGTGGCGCTGCATTAGCCGCGGCCGAAGCTTAAGGCTTTTATTTTGAAATGTTCAGAATGTTTCATTTTAAATGGTCAATGTAATCCCATGTATAACAGTGATTTGGTTAAATCAGACATATAATGGTCAAAAGAGCACTTATTTAATGTAAAAATTCTCAAGGCTTTTATTTTGAAATTTTTTTAAAGCTTAATTTAAAATTTCCACACTAATTCCATGTGTAACAATGGTTGGTTAAAAATAGTTATAAAAGGCCCAAAACACAAGCAGCTCTAAAGTCCAGCTTTTTTCTCTGAGTTCTGCCATAGTTAGAACTACAGTGATGCGTTTTTGTAGTCCTAATCAGCTGGCCCCTTTGTGTTCCGTTGCCATGGTAATGGATCCTCTGCCAGCTGTGAGTCAGACAGGGGGAGACTTAATTCTATCAGTTTGAGGCAGCCATTTAGCCTAAAATAGGCATGAGCCAGAAAGGAATCTTAAGGCTTTTATTTTGAAATTTTCATTGAGATTAATTTTAAATGGCCAATCTCATCCCATGTTTAACACTGATTGGGTTAAATCAGTTATATAGTGGTCAAAAGAGCAATTACTTGATGGAAAAATTGTCAAGGCTTTTATTTTGAAATTTACATTAAGCTTAATTTTAATGGTAACACTAATCCCATGTGTAACTATGGAGTTTTGAAATCAGTTCTAAAATTCCCAAAAACCAAGTACTTGTCATGGCCAGCTGATTCCTCCTCAGTAGTAACTGACAGTTCCGCCATGTTGTAGTTCTGACAATCAGCTCAGACCTCTTTTGTAGGCACTGAGTTTTCCGCCATGTTGTAGTTCTAACCTACAGTCCTTGTAGTTCTAAAGAGCAGCTGATTCCTCCTCAGTAGTAACTGACAGTTCCACCATGTTGTAGTTTTTATATTCACCTATGACCTCTTCTGTAGGCACTGAGTGTTCTGCCATGTTGTAGTTCTACCCTTCAGGAATTGTAGTTCTAAAGAAGAGGTCAACTGTCATGTCAGTGTGACACACAAGGAGAGACTTAATTCTAAATGCTTGAAGAAGTTAGTTTTTCTGACAGGCCCGAGAGAAATATTCAAGATTTTATTTTGAAATTTTCATTCAGCTTAATTTAAAGTTTCCACACAAATACTGTGTGTAACAATGGTTGCTTAAAATCAGTTATAAAAAGCCCAAACACAATGTAATTCTAAAGGCCAGCTCATTCCTCCTCAGTACTAACTGACAGTTCCACCATGTTGTAGTTTTTATATTCACCTATAACCTCTTCTGTAGGCACTGAGTGTTCCGCCATGTTGTAGTTCTAACGTTCAGGAATTGTAGTTCTAAGGATAAGGTCAACTGTCATGTCAGTGTGACACACAAGGAGAGACTTAATTTTAAATGCTTGAAGATGTTAGTTTTTCTGACAGGCCTGAGAGAAATATTCAAGGTTTTATTTTGAAATTTTCATTCAGCTTAATTTAAAATTTCCACACAAATACTGTGTGTAACAATGGTTGGTTAAAATCAGTTATAAAAAGCCCAAACACAATGTAATTCTAAAGGCCAGCTCATTCCTCCTCAGTAGTAACTGACAGTTGCGCCATGTTGTAGTTCTGACAATCAGCTCTGACCTCTTTTGTAGGCACTGAGTGTTCCGCCATGTTGTAGTTCTAACCTTCAGGAATTGTAGTTCTAAAGAGGTCAACTGTCATGTGTGTGAGGCAGAGACAGATTTCTATCTTTGTGAGACAGCTCAGTCAGTTATAATGGAAAAAGCAGCCCGAACAACTCCTTGCCGTTCGGAAACCGGGATACGTATCGGAAAACCGTTTGAAGCATATGAGAGAGCTATTTTTTGTCTCCGATAGTCCTGCAAATCAAATCTGTAGCTCACTCACAGTAATTACAGTGATGAGAGAAGAATGGTGTGCGCTGAGGTCTGAAATTTTCCAGAAAAGTATGAAAATATATGGTGGAGAGCGTCAGTTAGGCTGGAACTTGATTTTGCTCTAAAGCACCTTGACAGAAAACCGTAAGCCCTAGAAAATTTTTTAAAACATTTTACCGGAGCAGACATTCGTATCTATGTCATGACCGAGTTTGATACCGATAGCACGATATTTGTGGGCGTGGCGGCGATTTCAAAATTTATTTGGGGTCAGAAATCCACTTCATTTTTCACTCTAGCGGAGCGGCAGTTGGTGGCAGTTATGCTCTGCGTTTCGGCAGTTGGAAATTTCGCTCGTTTTTCGCTTTTTACGTCGCCGTCGTAACGCCGATTCCCCATAAAAGTAATAGCTCCAATGCCGGGAACGAGCCGCACGTTTTGATACCACTTTTGTGGGTGGGCACGCAGCGGTGCGAGCCGCATTAACGGTAGCGGAAGAAGAAGTTATAACTAGAAAATTCCTGAAGAAATTTAACCGGGGCCTGCCAAAGTGTGCCCGTCGATTTGGACCCAGTGTTCTGATGCTAAACATTAGCATCCATGCTAAAGAAAGCTGCAATGTCATCAATACAATGTGGAGAGTCACAAGCATGACTTACTGCATTCAGTATACTAAATATGGGTAATAAGAAAGGGAAATAGGTAATATCTCATGCAAGGTAAAAGGCTAATGCTAATGCTCTGCCTTGCTGCGCAAGGCAGAGCCCTAACCTGAGTGGAAAAGATCATGCAGGATAATCTTATTGCACTGCCTATGGCAGTGCACTGGTGGGGAACAGAGAAATGCTAATGTTTGTGCTAATGCTAATGCACTGTCTTGCTGCGCAAGACAGTGCCCTAACTTGAGAGGAAAAGATAATGCAAGGTGATATCATTGCAGCGCCTGCGGCGCTGCATTAGCTACGGCCGAATCTTAAGGCTTTTATTTTAAAATGTTCAGAATGTTCAATTTTAAATGGTCAATGTAATCCCATGTATAACAGTGATTTGGTTAAATCAGATATATAATGGTCAAAAGAGTACTTATTTAATAAAAAAATTCTCAAGGCTTTTATTTTGAAATTTTTTTAAAGCTTAATTTAAAATTTCCACACTAATTCCATGTGTAACAATGGTTGGTTAAAAATAGTTATAAAAGGCCCAAAACACAAGCAGTTCTAAAGTCCAGCTTTTTTCTCTGAGTTCTGCCATAGTTAGAACTACAGTGATGCGTTTTTGTAGTCCTAATCAGCTGGCCCCTTTGTGTTCCGTTGCCATGGTAATGGATCCTCTGCCAGCTGTGAGTCAGACAGGGGGAGACTTAATTCTATCAGTTTGAGGCAGCCATTTTCCCTAAAATAGGCATGAGCCAGAAAGGAATCTTAAGGCTTTATTTTGAAATTTTCATTGAGATTAATTTTAAATGGCCAATCTCATCCCATGTTTAACACTGGTCAAAAGAGCAATTACTTGATGGAAAAATTGTCAAGGCTTTTATTTTGAAATTTACATTAAGCTTAATTTTAATGGTAACACTAATCCCATGTGTAACTATGGAGTTTTGAAATCAGTTCTAAAATTCCCAAAAACCAAGTACTTGTCATGGCCAGCTCATTCCTCCTAGGTAGTAACTGACAGTTCCGCCATGTTGTAGTTCTAACCTGCAGTCATTGTAGTTCTAAAGAGCAGCTCAGTCCTCCTCAGTAGTAACTGACAGTTCCACCATGTTGTAGTTTTTATATTCACCTATGACCTCTTCTGTAGGCACTGAGTGTTCCACCATGTTGTAGTTCTAACCTTCAGGAATTGTAGTTCTAAAGAGGAGGTCAACTGTCATGTCAGTGTGACACACAAGGAGAGGCTTAATTCTAAGTGCTTGAAGAAGTTAGTTTTTCTGACAGGCATGAGAGAAATATTCAAGGTTTTATTTTGAAATTTTCATTAAGCTTAATTTAAAATTGCCAAACTAATCCTGTCTGTAACAGAGGTTGCTTACAATCAGTGATAAAAAGTCCAAACACAATGTAATTCTAAAGGCCAGCTCATTCCTCCTCAGCAGTAACTGACAGTTCCGCCATGTTGTAGTTCTGACAATCAGCTCTGACCTCTTTTGTAGGCACTGAGTGTTCCGCCATGTTGTAGTTCTAACCTTCAGGAATTGTAGTTCTAAAGAAGAGGTCAACTGTCATGTCAGTGTGACACACAAGGAGAGACTTAATTCTAAATGCGTGAAGCAGTTAG